GCAAGATTTTTAAGAAATAAGTATCAAATTATAGTGAGAAATGTAATCAATCACTTATACTCTGGAGCTGATACAATTTGAAGTAGGAGGCTCATCTTTGCTTGCCTGAGGAAGAGAAACACTTTTAGTTGGAACAGTAATAATTTTTGAAATGTAATTCTGAAGTAATTTCCTTAGGAATGTGTGCAAGCCTGTGGCTGGTGGGATGAATTTGGGGCTAATACAATCAGTGTCTTTAGAGGTTGGGGTTTATTGAAGAGACTGCCTCCGGATTTGAAGTCAGTGCCACTAGACTCTCTCTGGCTGAGGGGGGACTAACTCTTAGCCCCAGAAAATCTTACACCTGTAAAGCCCTGGCTGCTAGAGCCTCCAGATGACTGTTCTCTTTACACTCTCCCGAGTGCTGTCGTTTATCTTGGAATGGACCAGCACCAGATTTTATTTTCTGCCCTGAAATTTTGACATCACTTCATCTAATCAAAACCACTCAGAAGTTTGACGAACATTAGACAGCTGCAACTACCAACAATAAACCGTTTATGTACACCAATCAGACACCTTCATGGACGACTTTAAGGGTGGGTGTTTGCTGACTGAGAGAAACAGTGCTCCAGCAGCCAAGGCGAAATAGGAGGGCCTAGTATTTTCATCAGAGCATTTTCAAACTAGCAGAGAAAAACGTAGAGCTGCTTTATGTGATCGAGTAAACTGAAGTGAAATCAAGTCCAGGATATTTGCCTAAGGAAAATATCAAGCTGTGGTAAAGGTAAATATCCATCTGGGAAAATCTAAAAACAGGGAAAAAGGGAGACCTTAGAATTTAACGATCTATGTAAGAAGCTTGACATATTAATGATTAGGAGATCCAAGATGGGAATCACTGTGATGTCTCAGCAGTGAAACAAGATCTCTTGAATGTATTTGACTGATGCCAAGTGTTTAGCTAAGTTCACTGCCTTCTGGGCTTTTATTCTCCCATTTGCCAAACGAGTCGAGGGACCGAGGACAGGTTGGCTTAGGAAATCTCTAAGGTGCACTCCAGTTCTAAAACTGGAAACATCGAGAATATGTGAATTTAGTGGAATCCTTATGACTGTTCCTTACATTTGTTTTATTGCAAGAGGTCCTGTGGACGTTTACATTTAGGTTGAAAGAAAAGTGAGACACTTGGAGAGAAATGGTTTGTGCTCTGAAAAAATGAACGAGATTTACCCAAAGAGCATCTTGAGAATGTGGTTGGGTTTTCACATTGGTATTGTTTGCTTCACCTTGCTTTTCTAATGTGTAGATGTCCGTAGGTTCCCACCAGGGACAAGAGAAATAAAATAACTTTTGGGGGGAGATGAAAATCATCGCCTGCACAACAGTGTCTTGACGTTGGTTTTTCAGGTCCCGACTGTGGGAGCACCTTGGCCTTTCCTCCTTTCGCTCCCCAGTATTTCCCTTTCTCTTCCTTCTTGAGATTCCTCTCCCTGTTTACAACAGGATTAGTCCTCACTTCCAGCCCTTGTCCTTCCTGCGGCTCCACTCTCATCTCTCTGACCATCCAACTGCTGCTTATCCGTGAAGCTCAGGTTCCTCCTTTCAAAGAAATACGGCTGCTGTCGCTCTCCTTCTGTGCTGCTGTTTCATGTGATTTAGCACTGAACTTCACATCACCTTACCGTTTTATTTTTTGCCTTCTTTCCTTGCAACTGGTAATATCCTTCCTGAAGACAGGGTCATTCTTTAATACACAGGACATCTCTGTAGAGTGTAGCTTAGTATTTGGCTGTTTTTCCGGGGGAGCCTTGACGCTCAGTCTCTAGAGCTCTGAAAGCCAAAAATGGCATTCTGGAATCTCAGTTTTAACAGCTGTCAGCCACTGGTGTAAACCTTACAGATCAATTCCAGTGATGGGATATTCTAACTCAGTTGTGTGTGTGTGTGAGCGCACGTGTCTCATGTGGTAAGTAGAAAGAATGGCAGTGTTTGTCAGACACTTCTCTTAGGTCAGTCCACGTTCCCCGGGTGCAATGGAAGGCCAATTGTTTTATAGTTGGCACCACTCTGGAAGCCCCTTGAGTAGGGAAGGAAATGGAAGCAGCAGCATGGGGAAAGGGCTGTAGCAGACATGGCCAAACATGCTCCTCTGGGACAGAAGGGGCCCCTTTTCTTTCTTACAAGATTTTATTCAGTTATTTTTAAATAATGATCACTTAGGACTGGGATGTGGATTATGATATATTTTGAAGGTATGGAGCTCCTTACACTTTATCCCATTATGTTTTATTTACAAATGTTTACATATTTTCTGTCCCATTGCTGGTTATGTACCAGTAGTTAGGCTTAGTTAGCCTATGGTGCAATAACAAATAAACCTTGAAACCCTAAGGGATTAACAAAATAAATATTTGTTTTTCTCTCACTTCACAAAGGATTGGGGTGGTTTCCTCAGTGGCTCTTCATAAAGGGATTTAGGGACAAAAGTAATGACCTTACAGTATATTTAGAAAAATCTTTGCCTACTCCACTCCCATTAATGGATTATATGATCAGTTTCTTGAATAAAACAACTAAGAGCATGAGTTCTCTTACTTACGCATGCACATCAGCTATTCTTCCTGTTCCCTCCCACCTCCAGAAGTTCCTCATTTGCTCCATCCCTTCATTATTAAGTAATAATTGCAACAGAGACAGGACTGAGCCTCAATCTACAGGGCCCTGGGGAACATAGCTTATGGGTTTATAGTCCTAAAGTGGAATTTGTGCTCTGAGAAACCTAAGACTTGCAATAGCTGGTCATCTTTTCATCCCAACTCCAGAGCAGTGCCTGACAAAAACCAGTGCCACAGTAAATATGTGTTGAATGAATAAACTCATAGCTCTCCTTAGCTTTGCCTTCACCATAAAGCTAATTTTTTTCATTATTTTACCTGTCTAAAATATTCCCTTGCTTTTCCTATATTTGTCTGTATTTGCAGTGAATGCTTTGAAACAAAGCTTTGAACTTCATCTACTGTAATTTGACATCAGAAATTGGAGAATGCTTTCCAAATTCAGTAATCCCTCCCCCTTTTTTGTACTGACATAACTTTTGAAATATAAGTAGAAACTTTGTGAAAGCATCACATCAAATATGTAAACTGCAAAGATTTTTAAAAGGAGAAAGTGACTGAGATCAAGTTACTGAATTAAAGTCCATTTAGTGGCATTTTTTAAGTCGCCTGAATCACTCTGTATAGTCATTTCAGCTGCTTTAGGGATACAGCCTCAGGGATAGTGTAGTATAGGGACAAGAAAGATAAGATGTAAATTTCAGACAAAATCGGGCGCGTTCAGGGTGGTATGGCCATAGACAAGATGTAAATTTCAAACAAAGGAGAAAAGAAATGGGTTTGTACATCATTTAAATAGAATATTTCTGAACTTTCCCCTTGATTGGCCCTGCTCAAGTGGCTGTTTTTCTAAGTAGAAAGTGGGGCTTGCAAAACTGTAAATTGGGCAATCTGCATTCACATTTTGATGATCCACAAATTATTCATTTGCTAGGATAAAGCAGATTTATGAAACCAATAATTTTGTTATTCATTTATGCCTTATACTTTTTTTTTTCCATTTGGAAGAACCTGTAAAGCAAACTCTTAACATTTCATTGAGCTAAAAAATGAGAGCCTATTTCCAGCAAATGTCTTCAGTTTCCTCCATCTTGTGTTTCTTTGTTGTATGAGGCCCACTCAAGGCTGTGTTCTCCACTGGTGCAAGATCAGTGGGCGGTTACACTAATATCACTGATAAGGACTTTCTGCCAATGTTCGTGAGAACGGGCCGCTATAAACTGGTCAGGGATGAGCTTAGGTGATACATTTGTGAACTAAAGGACTGGCGGTCCTTATGTATTTTAAGAAAATAAAATGTTGACTTGGAGGTCACAAATACAGAATTGCGGTCATATATAATCAACTTCCATATAAAAATTATAGAGTTTCCGTGATAAATTTCAGATCAGGTATGAATTTGCATCACTCTTCATCCTAAGTTCAGCTTGCCTGAAGAGGGCTGCTGCTTTAACGCCTACTCTGGAAATGGCTCTGCGCTCTATTAGGTACATTTCACTAGGCCGGAAAGGTTTGTTCTTGGGTAATGAACGGCAGCTATGTGGCTATATGATGTGCTTGAATATTTTCTCTTTAATAAAAAATAATTACAGTCAGATTGTTCCTCAAAATGAAACCCCTTCCCAGGTGTAAAGCTGTGAACCTTCAAGTTTCACTAGGACACTGTAACTAAGCATGATGCTGACGGTGAGCTCAGCCCACACCTGAGCCTGTGAAGAAATTAGAACAAGAACCAATTTCAAGTTTGCCCCTGATTAACCTGGAGATTTGGCGGAAACTTGGGTCTCTGTCACACACAGCCAAAATGAAAGTCAAAATTCAGCGTACTTCATGTTATTTAGCTCTTTCATAGCCATTCTCTGAATTACAGTCTTAATATCTATAGATTTGTGACAAGAAGAAAATGTTGGTCTTAACACTTGAAATATTTATTGGGAAAATGAAGGGAGCTGGAAACTTGAAATGCTTTTTCTATTTTTAATATGACCTTGTAATTTATTTGATTATAATGAACATTACAAAAGAGTCTTATGTGTGGGACAGCTCCCTGAAAGCTCAGACTGCACAAAATAAGTAGAAAAGAGAAAACAAGCGTCTTCAAGATGCCTAATGTTCTGAGGGCTACATGGTACACAAAAGCCTACAGTCTCACCACTTATACATTTATTGAATTCTCCTCAACATTGTACGATTGTTCAAACTGCTTGTTGTTTCGATAGCGTCTGCTATTGTTTTTCTGGGGAGAAATATGGTGGGATTTTTCTTTCTCTTTTTAAATAACAGATTTAGTGGTCACTACCTGATTTGGATACCTCAAGCCAGAAATATCCTGACAGTGCACCGAAGCAGACCTGTGTGTATAATGTGAGTTCTTTCTTTTCAATTTTAGAATCAACCTTGTCCTATGTTAGGCAGCTGGAGGCCAGAGTCAGACAGCTGGAGGAAGAGAATCGCATGCTGCCCCAGGTGGGTGACTCCGGGAGCTCGCAGCTAGTCAGTGTCCTTTGAGTTGGAGCGTTTTATTTGGAATTTAAAGTCTCAACTACATTCTCTCCTTTCAATGATAGAAATCATTTTGTAAGTAGCCATTCATCAGTGTGGAGTGTGATTACTTTCCATAATGACCATCATATTATCCAGATTCTTAAGCGTGATGATAAAGGACGCAGGTGTCTGAAATAAGAATGTAAAATAATTTTGGAAGGAAGAAGAGAAAAATGAAGAGAAGTAGAAAGTACTCTGATAACACTGCCCATATACATTGTGCATGTCGTTGGTGAAGACAGAGAAGGGACTCGTATTTAAATGAAAATTTTGCTAATTTATGAGGTAGACAAAGCTTAGGTAGTTTGAGGACTTCATGTTTTAATTAAATCAGTATGTTCTAAAGTTCTGTGTGATATAACAACAAAGTGATGAGAGTAATTGACATTTTTTACTTTGGGGCTTAATTTCTTTTCCCTGGTGAATGTAAAGTGCACTTTGTCTGGGGTTTAATGCCTTGCCATATATTTTCCTTATAAAATTATTTCCGTGGGCTGAGATCCTTTGAGGCGGTGGTTCTTGGGAAATGTTCTGTGAGGAGCTGAACAAATCTGATTCTGGTTGCTCCCCTTTTCAGGCATGTAGACAGCAATGCATTTAAATATTTTATGAAAGTGAGCATTTAATCGCTGATGTTCTTTCCACATTTTGGTGATTATTTCTATTTCATAAGTGACTAAGGGAAAATTAAAACTCAAATAGCTACTAAACAGTAGTTTAAATGAAAATACAAGATTGGTTATAGTGCAGGAGGAAATATAGAAACATTAGTGCAAATATGCTTTGGGAAGACATTTAAAAAAAAACTGTTTCTGCTCATCACTGATGATTTGGGCCATCAGGTACCGCATGTGAGAATGCCTGTCTCATACTTCCACTGGCCAGCCAGCTGGCTGGAAATCATGAAATGAAATGAAATGAAATGAACCTACTTATCTCCCTTCTCCAGCTATACAGATGTCAAAGTCATGATGACAGAAGGGCTTATCTGTATCATGAAGTAAAGTACTACGTAGAGTTTTTTTCTTTGCTCTTCTGTACTTTTCAAGTTTTCTTTGCCATTTTCCCTTTTATACTGCATTCACAGTATGACTGTGCTAGGACCCTGACTAAAAACTTCTCCGTTTCAAAAACTAAAAAAATATAATTAGTTGATTGTGAACATTATATATGGTTATATGATCTCAGAGGCAACTGGGAATATAAATTAAGAGAAAGAGAAAAAGATGTTTCATAGTTTTCCTGTGAGTAGGAACTGGGGCTCCCATTAACACTGAAATGCTAGCACTTGTGCTATCTTATTAAGAGGAACTACAGATGCAAACATGATTACAAGATGGACTTCTAAAAATCTGCAAAAGTGAGTGTTAGTGGTCTTGAAGGGAAATCAAGAGTCTTCAACTGTACTTGATGTGTGTGTATTTCAATATATAGTACTTACATAGTTAAGAGTAAAAGAGATGAAAAAACTTTTCAAGGTGTAAAGTATTCAAGCATATGTTTTTAAATGCATTGCTATTTTCTATTAATGAAGATTGTTATTTTTCCCGCACAAGAAATGGCTAGGAAAGATCATGTTTTATTGAAACTAAGGTGTTACTGATGTGGGATGCCCCATTATGATATGTACCATTAAGAAAGAAGAAAGATGCCAATGATTTCATGTCAGATTCTTGCTGATTTCAGAGATGGTAAAATGGAAAAATGCTATAGAATTAAACAGTTATTTTTGTGTCCAGATTACTTTAATGCAAAGAAAATCCATTGTTTGAAATAAGCCATTGGACATATGCAAAGAATACAATAGATCTATCTCAGTTCAAGAGCATTATTTCCATAAAATTTCTGTATTTGTTAGTGATGTCTTCATTTACATCTAAGACAGATATGATAGAGCCACCAGTTGCAACTACTTGTGTAAATACAACTGAAAAGAACATACAGTGAAATTCATGTAGTGTGAATCCTCGTGTAAGACTGAGACTTGGGCTGGATAACACAAAGGATATGCAATTTCTTCTTAGATGTCAGTGGGACAATTACAAATAATTATGACATTTTCCTGCGGAAACTATTTCTGATTGCACGATGTTAGCTGATTTGCAAGGTCAAGTCAGTACAACAAGCTAACATCATTGCATAAATTAGCCTCAGTATCTGAACACTTGATTTTCAGTTTTAAGAGTTTGCTCACTGTGCCTTGATTAGAAGGTATTCTTTTTTTATTCCCAAGTTTTTAAAAATATATCCACTTGTCTTTGGATAAATAGGAATAAGAATATAGTTGGCAATTGGTATTCCAAGTATATCAGATATCTTTTGTGACTGTGTCCAGTTTCTTTGCTGATAACTTAGTGTTTAATTATGTAAAACATTTTCTTGGAGGAAGAAATCTCCTTAATGATCATTTTTATTCTTTATATAGAATTGCATATAATGAACAGAAAGTCACAATTTTTCCCTAGCAATACACATTTTAAAATAAGCAAAGCGTGTGTAATAGATGCTGTGGGTTTCTCTCTGGTTAGGTCCAAAGGCTTCCATTTCTTAATTTATAAGTGACAAGGTTCCTCCTAGCTCTTAAGTTTCCAAGTCCTAGAATGAAGGGTTTTCATTCAGGAACAGAGAGAAAAATGCAGTGAAAATAGAGTTGGTTCTACCCAGTGGTACAGGGGAGCCCACAGAAGTGTGGATGGAATATCAGTATAGACACCATGGCAGGTCATTGCCCAGTGAGCACAGAGCTCTTTGCTCTGCCACAGTCTCTAGAATATCTTACAAGGACCATTGAGCTGTACCTTAAATCCAGTTTGTGAACACAGTACTTAGAGGTGTCCTAAAATAAGAACAGTGTCATTATTTTCAGAAAATGCAGTAGTATTTCATAGGTATTGTTTGAGAAGGAAATGTCTTTTTACTTTATTAATTTTGATAGAAAACAATATGAGATCTACCCTCTTAAAGATTTTTAAGTGTACAATATTGTTTTCTATGGGTATGATTTTTTCATTAGATCTCGAGAACTTGATTTTCAACGCCCCATCTCCCCCCAGCCCCTGGCAACCACTCTTCTATCCTTCCCTTCAGTGAGCTTGACTATTTTAGATATCTCATATAAGTGGAATCATGTGGTAATTTGTCCTTTTGTGACAGCTTATTTCACTTGGCATATTACCATATGATCCAGCAATCTTACTTCTGGATATTTATCCAAAAGAATTGAAATCAGGATTTCAAAGAGATAGTCTATTCCCATGTTCACTGCAGTACTATTCACAGTATCCAAGATGTGGAAGCAACCTACATGTCCATCAGCAGATGAGTAGATAAGTAAAATGTGCTATATGCATACAATGGAATACAAATTGGCCTTTAAAAGTAGGAAATCCTGCAATATGTGACAACGTGAATGAACCTTAAATATGCTTTCTGAAAGTTGGTACAAGTGATCATTAGCAGTCCCCTGAACTTAGGTATTCTTTCTTGAACACATAAACTAATGTAAACATGTTTTTACAGAATACACTTAAAAATATTTCAAAGAATTGCATCTAACCTCTCAAAATACACACAATGCTAAAACTGCTCAGACTGTTCTGTGAACTCCATTCTGTGTATATTAATGTGACATGAACTCTAAATGAAGATTGTGTGTTACTTAAATGTTGCTGCCGTCTGAAATTTTACTAACTGGAGTGAGGTAGAGTCACCCACAATGACATAAGTAGGAATTTATGAAATAAAAGACCCACTATGGTGTAAAATTATTGTAAGGAATTTTATATAAAATTGAAAAGGAACATACCTATTACATGTATACATTTATACGTAAACACAAACTTTCTGTGGATAAAGAGATTTTCAAAGTTGGGTAGAACCTTACCTATCACATTGGACAACCCCCTCTTTAAGTAAAGGCATCTAAGGTTCAGAGGTGATGAGTATAGTCCTGGGCAGACTCAGACCAAGACATAGGCCTACTCAGTGTTCTTTCTAGCACACACAGTGCCTCCTTTAGTCACTTCATACCATTCATGTAATTCAGTGTAATTGAGCTGTTAAAGCTATTTTTCTTATTGTCAAATCCTTTTTTGTTTAACACATCTTAAAAGTTGACATGGTATCTGCTTAGCCACCTAAGATTTCTTAAACATTTATTTTATTTCTGATTTAAGGCAAATATTCTGTTTATCTTAAAGCATCATAAATTTTTAAAAATGCATTTTATAGAGTCTTCTGACACATTTTAAAATACTTCAGAATCATTAAGTTTTATTGTACAAACACATATGGTGACATCTGCATGAAAAACTTATACTTAACAGAATGTGGAAAGAGATGGCCTTTTTCTTCAGAGTGCATTGGAGGTAGATGGGTAGGAGAACAGATAGTTACAGTAGCAGTTTACAAGGTGTATGATATTTTAGCCCAAATTCAGAAGCCTTGCTTAGGTCTCTCTACTCATTCCATTGCCCTTCTCTCTGGCCATGAGGACTTTCCATTGAGGCGTGGTCAGTATGGTTACGTACTGTATCTGCAGTGAAGTCTGTTCATCTAGACAGATCCTAAAGCGGACACAGAATACCTTTCTGATGATTTTATTATAGATAACACCACCCTCTGAGGACATCAGGCACTATTCAAATGTAACAGTGAGGTAAAAGCTTCTCTAAAACTATCTCACCTATCCTGTGTTGAGTTTGGATTTTGCATCATTAATAGGGCTCGAGACGTGAAACAAGCAGTTTGCTGAGATTCCGAAGTCAATTAAGTACATTTGTTAAAAGCCCCCCCCCCC